GTGTTTTTGTATCCCTGGGCAAACAAGCATTTACTATCACAAGCCTATTTCTTCAACTTTGGCAGTCCTGAGGACTTGTCCTCCCTTGAGCCATGAACCATGACAGCCACTAGCACATGTCAGAAGGGGCTCCTAAGTCCCTGCCTGCTTTCACTTCTTTGAGAATCACCAGTCCTCCTAGCCACAGTCTCTTGAAAGAAACACCTCCGCCGCTTGCAGCTTCTCCCAGCGCAGCAGCACTTTTGCTCGGTGGTTTCAGCAAATCTGATCATGTTACTGCTGTCCCGCGTTCCTTACATTGCTCGGCTAGCATGCGGTGGATTGATTTCAAGTTGGCACTCTTGTACTTAAAAGGGACTCTGTCAACAAATCACAGTCCTGTCTCCTTTTTTTAACCCATTGCTGTCACAGTGCATAATTAGATTAATAAAATAAATAAGAGATCAGTACATGTAGGAACTTAGCAGAATTGCACCCACTGCCCATTAGAGTGATGTCTTCTTCCTCCAAACAAGATAGCCAGGACAAGCAAAGATACAATAAATTATTTTCTAGAAGGAAATTAAGAAATTTTGCATGCTGTTAATGTGAGCACTTTCCCATGTACAGGCAAGAAACTTCACAAAGGGGAAGATTTATACTTTCACAAAACAGGGAAACGAGACTGCCAAATGCCACAAACTGTCTGGGGACTTCAGGTCTACAGCAGGACCTGAAACTAGGTTGCTGAGTTTTGCTTTTTTTCTTTTAAAGTTGACAACTTCAGTTGACAGCATCTACATTCAGCCCTGACCAGTGGGGAAACCTGACTTTTCCTAGTTCTAGGCCATTGCCCTCATGGGCAACTTTTTTGGTTTTGTTATTGCTTTCATAAACATACAGCTATTATTGCTGTTTATTATCCTTCCCATCCTCAGTAACTTTTACCGTCATTTATTTTTCAGTTGGTGTTATTCATGTGTATTTCTGGTAGATTTAAAAATAATTGTTAGCATTGCAGAAATGCCTTCAGATTTTAAATGAGGACTCCATAATACTGCATTCTGTAAAGACCTTAAATAAGAAATAATTTGTGTCCCACAGAGTATTGTAAAGGGATTTAAGGAGCTTACTCCCCACCCCACGCCTGTTGCAAGCCCAGACAAAAGACAATAAAAGTATGAAGCAGAGAAGGAGGAATGAAATAACCACAAAAAGGCACATTTAGCTGGGCAGATGAGGTGCTCATACAGGTAGCCAGCATGGAGCTGGGGATTTTTTTGCTTATCAAGGCTGTTAAGAGTTACACACTGTTTTTTTACCTGATAAAAAAGTATAAAAAGCATGAACTGCACTAAAAGATGTGTTAAAAATACAACCACCACATCGGCCAGTATGCATATGGGGTCAGAGTGGCCAGATTTCAGCGGTACACAATTTGCTTCTGGAAAGTCTTCACCAATTACTTCCACAACTCTAGCCTAAAAACCTTATCATTAAAACAACATACTCTTTCTTTAATTCTAGAGCTTACAATCATATTCAATTTTCATCCCAACTTCACCAAAACATAGCTTTAAGTAAGTAGTATTTTGACTCTGAGTACACTGGGCACACTGCAAAGATAGTCATGCTGCAGAAATTACTGCCAGTAGCCTTTTTCAGAGAGAAAAGTCAGAGGAAAGGTTGACAGAATCCTGTAGTGTCAGTTGAATCAGGAAAAACACACCACCACAAAATATTATTTTTTTACACTATAAGCAACTGCTGAAATCTCAGGGTAAGTTTTAAATTTACCATTAAGCTGGATTCTGGCTTGAGTTTTACCCCAAACTCTCCAATGCCCCAAACAAAGAAGTCTTGGAGGTATTTTAACTCCACGCTAATTAACAAGCTGATGTGCTTAGCCGACCCTGAGATGTGGGCTCAAACGCAAAGTACAATTCAACAAGGGTAGCATCAATTTGAAACAAGGAAGGCAGACACAATTGCTTTGGTGGTTGATAGTCTTTCCATCCCCCTCCTTCCATTCCCAAGTACAAACCAGTCCTCTTGCTATTGGACACAACCTACTAGGAGGCAGCTTTGGACTATCTCAGGCCAAGGAACAAACAGATGGCTTCCAAAATACCTACCGGAAAATGCAGAGTGAGAACATGGTAATGCAGACAGGGCTCTGTCTGTGTGCATGCTCACACCCAGAAAGACTAACCTAGGTGCTCAGCCTTACACATAAAGCATTCAGGCTAGACATATAAGGAAAATTAAGCCTCAAATATTGTAAAGTTGTTTCTCCGTCAAGTGAGACTCTTGACATTTTGTCATATCCAGTTGTACAACAGGATAATACAGTGATCTTGAGAGGTGTTTCAGTGATTGCTCATCATCTCTTAACAGCTGATCTTTGCAGGCTTTTGCTATCAGAACCAAAATCAAATTCCCAGCTCAAAGTTGGCAAGAATACTAAAACCATACCTGTTTTAAGGAACGGTTAAAAAAAGCTTACAGAGCAGACAGATCTGAAAGTATTATCTAAATATCATAATGCAACATTTAAACAAAACGAGTAATAGGAGAAGAAGATCATGGTTCAGTTCTGAGCCTTTTCTTGGAGAGAGGCACAGAATCTTATTCAGCAAAGGTGATTCATTTAAAGGTGAGGCATCCACCTTATTTATTTCCTCCTTCTTTAAGGCATCGATAGCATTTGCTTCATCACTGCCATACCCCAAAAACCTGACAGAAACATCTGCCTCCGTCACAGCAGATGCCAGTTACTTCCTTCCCCTGTGGCCAGACACACCACCCTGGGGTGCTCCAGACCAGAGAGCATCCCCGGTCATTTCTGTGGCTTCAGGCTCCACACCCTGTCAGCACAGTAGCTTCTTTACTAAACATCAGCCTTTTTCCTTCTTTTTTCCCTTTTTTCCCTTTTTTCCTTTGTTAAGCTGTTGCTTCTAAAGGGGAATTTTGATTATTGAAATACTTGATTATAAAGGGAAGGGAAGAAAATCCACAGTAACCTGTTGTCAGACACAGCCTACAGATCAAACTGACTTGTGCATGAATCCCAGCAGTTTGCACTCGCGCTGCCTCCAAAGCGTTTATACGAGAGGTGTGTTTTTCCCGTTGTGCTGCCGTGATTGTTTGGCTGGGCGATGGATGGTGGAGAAGGTTGTGTCTGGAAACGTGCTCCGAAGTTGACAGGAAGCTGAGGGGGCCTTTGCCAGCACTTCCTTCCTGCATACAAGGGGAGGACAGAATGGGAAAAACCTTGACTGTCTCCTACCCTTAGAAAAGTGCTACCCTTCCAGCTGGATTATAGTAAAAATATTCTAATCTTTCACAAGATTATAATATCCTTCCTCTCTAGGTATAGCTATAGTGGTAGCAAGGCTTAGATAATGAAATGAACCAACAGTGTAAAACTTATTAGGTAGCTACAGAAAGCTGGTGGAAGCCGAACAAATGAAGGTCCAAATTTGAAGAGCCCTATCTTCAGCCAAGATACAAATCATCAGTGGATCACACCTAATCCGGTATCTTGACTCCAACAGCAACCAGTACTAAGCACTTCAACAGAAGGTGTAAAATCCATACAAGTAGTACATTGGAAATGTGTCCCTCTGGACAGCTTCATTCCTGTGCCTGTTTTAGAGAGTGGATCTAAACCCAAAACATAATGTTTATTACCCCTACAAAAAATAACACTGCAATGAGCCATCTATGAATATTCTGACCACGCAATCCACACATTTCTCATGAGCACCCAGGATGGTTTGTGTTACGGAGACTTTCCTTGAATGTCTTTTTCCAAAGACCCAGCCTCTAGGTCCTTTTGTGGATGATTCATGAATCTGCATGACACCCTGATGTGTAATCATCACCTGTTCACAGTAATAAAAAAGTGTGCAGAATATTACAGAACAGATATTCCATGCTACCACAGGAAATTTTCCTAAAATTTTCCATTCTTGAACTCCCAGATTCAAAGCCATAGACAATGGCAAGATCTTTAGTGATCTTTCAGAACCCCAAACTCATCAGCTTGCTCTGCCTACAGCCACATGGACTGTGACAGCAAGAGCATGGCACAAGGGTGGTGGCTATGAGGACCACTTTCCTTGCTATCCCAGCAAGGGGATATCCTAGCAATCCACCCAGGCAGATACTGTCTGGACAAGTTTGCCCAAGTGAGACTGAAAAAGGGAGGACGAAATTCTCAGGACTCTTGACAACAAAAGAAAAATCCCCAAACCTGTGAGCAGACAGCTCTCATAACAGCCTCTACTTCTGAAAAAGGAATCAGACAAAAAGACCTCACCCATTAACAAAGAGTGGCGAACAATGGAAACTGTCAAAAAATAGCCCTCACGTCAGAACTAAGAATGCCCCTTTACACATCCAAAAAAGCACACAGCTGAGCAAGAGCCTGGGAGGCTGTCAGGCACTGCTTCTGGCTTATCCATCTCCCAGGCCCTTCTCCTTCGCAGAAACTGCCAGAAGCACTAGATGATACTGAATTCCAGTAACCAAAGATGGGGATGGAAGAGGAGAGGAAATTTATGGCAGGACTGAGCCAGAGTAAGTAACAAAATCCTGTCTGTTCAATCTCTCCAGCAAGGACCCTGACACTGAAACTTCACTTCATGGGACATACATCTAAATGATATGCGTGTGCACCTTCTACAGGTTTTACTTTATAGACTAAAGCAATTACAAAAGCAATTAATGAGAAAACTAAACTATGAATAAAACCTGAATGAGTTATTAAAAAAATGGCTATAAAAATTTTCCACCTGGAATACAAGTCTAAGAACACTGATATCTAGATGTGGACCAGGAAACCTCAAAGATCCAATAACCTTCATGGCACACAATTTAGCATTGAATTCACAGGTTTTGCTCTATTTGTGACTCAGCATTCTCCTCCAATAGCACTAAGGAAAATAAATGGAAAGCAAATCATGCTGAACAAACAGGATAATATAGGCAAACACTTGGACAAGCAGAGAACTCACCAGTGGGCTGATCACTTGAGTCACTGTCTTGATTCATCTTCCCAAAGGCAGCACTGAATCAGGGTGCTGAGCTTAGAACTCTACAGCTCAGAGTTGGTAGCCCAAGCTCTTGCTTCTAAGAAGAAAAAATGTAGTGTTACTATCAAACTGTAGGAACTTCACCCTATGTGAGAAAGGAAATATTTTCTGTGTGGTCTGTTGCCTTTGAATCTAAGCATGATAGTACAGAAACTGTGTGCATATACAGCTTAGCATAGAAGTCATAGTACATTGCCTGAAGACCAGAGAACTAAATGGTGAATTGGTGAATTAAGTCAACCAAGAAACATTGAGAAGTGGCATCTGAAAACTCATGCAATTTAAAACAACATGTAGTTAAAACAACATCTGAATTCCTGGAATAGGTCAAGATTAGCTTTCAGATTTCAACTGCACGAACAGGAGTCTCTAACACTGTTTATTTGATTAACCAAACAAAAACCCAGACCTATCTAACCTCTAAACTGGACAAACAGTCCACGTGAAAGTATGTTTTTGCCATAGCTAAACAGCTCCTCCTCTTTGTTTGCTTGCCCTTCCACTCATCACATCTTGACTGTGGTAGAGTTGGGAACAGAACCCATGTCTCCCAAATCCCAACCCAGTGCCTTAACCACCACATCCTTCCTGCTGAATCACATTGCAGAATTGTTTATCAGGAAGGAAATTCCCCCTCGAGAGTACTCACTCTGAGTGTGCTGGTGGAACACAAATGCTTAGAAAAATACAAATGGACTAGCAATAACAACAAGTGATTTAAGTCACTGTACAACAGGCTAAAGGTATACATCAGTACATTGTTGTTTGTTGTTAGTGTAAGTAAGGCACCATTGAGCAGGACATGACACAGAACAAGCAGTGCATCCGGATGTCCTCAGAGTAATAGCCTCCTGCTCTTCAACAGATGATACCTAACTTCGAAAACATCTATCCCACCTTTAACATTAGGTGTATGTCACTCAGAGGGGAATTCAAAAGGTTTATATTCTTACCAGGCACCATGAAGGTCACCTTTGGTAGCATCTCACACCAAGCTGCTAAGTGCAAGCAGCTGTAGTATGTGACTAGTGGGTCAGAATTAACCTCAACATGTTGTACTAGCAAAGAGCCTTCACTTTCTTTAAGGTCTTTGCCACCCTCCCTCCCCCCACCAAAAAAGCAGGGCAGGGAGGGAGATACCAGAAGTGGAACAAGTATGTTTTAGCCTAAGCGTAGTTTACCCCATTAGTCTCCTAGAAAACAAAAAGGGTTGTAATTCATCCACGATCTGTCTGGGGACACAAACCCACTAAAATGGCAAGTTCATGGTCCAGGACTCTGAAGAATTTGGCTCTACTCAGCAGTTGGGCAAAGGAGAAGAATTTCCCCACTTGCAAGCAATGGCTTTCCAGGTTGCGTCCCATGAGACCCCACCACAGTAACCGACACAAACACACGCTTGGGCTGATTCCCAGAACTCTGACAAGATTTCTTTTACACTCCCTTTAAATGTCATTGTATAGAAATTCCAGCAGGACTGACTCTTGTGGGGCAGGGAACCAAACCCTCAATCACAACATCCTAGGGTCACGTTCATATATCTAGAGCAGCTTTTAATGGGCACATCCGATAGGGCTAGCTGCCTCCAGCCAGCTGCCTCGAGAGCAGACCCAAGGGAGACGTGCTCAGCCTCTGGTGCACAGGGCCACGGGACAGCAAAGGACCAGGTCCATCCTACAGACACAGGCAGGGCCCCACCGGCTCTGCTGGACACACCAGCCCCATGGAAAGGCAGTCTTCTCCCCAGAGAAGCCTGGTCTGAGGGCAGCCATCCCACCACGCACCCACGTGAACACCTGTAAGCTTCTGTTTCTCGTGACCATCTCCCCTGTTTGTACATTAAACTCCAAGACTGATCCCCAGTCACGGCAGAAGCACGTCTCAAAGCAAACGCAGGGAGTATCGGTGCTGCTCTGGAGACACAAAGCCCCTCCAAGGGCACTTTGTGCAGGATCTATCTATCACACGCAGACACCTGCATCTCATCTGACTATCTGGGCTCCCCATGTGACCAGTGGAGACAGAGAGTCATCTCTAGGGAGATCACCCAAACAGGGATGACTTGAAAAAGAGATCTATGGAGTTAAGCCATTTCTCTCTGGTAGTTGTCTATAGAGTCTCGGTGGCCACCTCAGATGAAGGCATCTCTGTCCAACCAGCTGAATCCCACCCTCTAGCATTATGTTACCCCAGAGTTGAACGTATTGGCTTTGCTGTCCCACAGCACATCAACAAACACATCAGAAAGTGTCAGGCAAAGTACTAGTATCAAACAAAATCAAATGTCACCGCTTTGAAGTTTGGTATTTTGAATCTATTACCTACTCATTCTTTCTGTGTTACTTTAATTGCCTACAGTTTTTGTATTTATCTTAATATATCTACATGGATACAAGAGTCAGATGGAGCCAGACTCTTCTCAGTGCTGTCCAGTGACAGGACAAGAGGCAATGGGCATGAACTGAAATACAGAAAATCATGTTTAAACATTAGGAAAAAACCCCAGGGGTTTGTTTTTGTTTTTTTTACTGTACAAGTGACAAAACATTGGAACAGGCTGTGCAGAGAAGTTGTAGGGTCTCCATCCTGACTGGACACAGTGCTGAGCAACCTGCTCTGAGCATGGGGTTGGAGTGGGCGATCCCCAGAGGTCCCCTCCAACCTCAACTGTTCTGCGATTCTGCAGTATGGTTGAACACTGTACATTAAAAGACTCCTTACATTTGGGATGTAGACAGTTAAAGACAGCCAAACCTTATTACCCAGGGGTAATGCCTGAGATTTCCAGAGAAACTATCATGCTAACCATCACTCTGTTCCCTGTTCTTCACCCCACCAGGAATCACTGCTTGCTGCAGAATACCTGCCTCAATTTTGTTCTGCACCACTTTGTAGTTCTTCACATCACTGGCATCAGACACATCCAATAATTTACTAAAGTGAAAGTTTCTTGCCAGAAGACACTTTGAGGCATTACTTCCATTTTTTTGAACAGTAAAAAAAAAGTCACAATTTCTCCTTAAGGCTTCTTTCAACCTTGATATTATCCAAAAACCCTCAAGCCTTGCTTTTTACATCATACAAGAGTAATTTAGGAATTAATATTAAATGTAATTCAATTGTTCTTCACTAAAAAGGCTATTCTCTCATTCTTTGCCTGCTATTTTTGTAGTCAGGATCAAGTTTATTTTTTTAGACCTAAGTGGGGCTGACCTAATAGGAAAATCAAGTGTGTCCAGGGGGAGAATATAACTCCACAACTTCATTCCTGCAGGATGTTGTGATCAGTTTAGAGTGGTGAATAACAGCATACTGGAAGGTAATTGCTGTTATGGATGTCTTCTTTTTGGTTCAAAGAATTCCCCATATGGAAACCCAGCACGGAACAGCTAAAGAAAAAGGCTTCTGCAAAGAGCTGCCAAACTGCTTCTCCAAGGACTTCTGATTCTTCTCCAGAGCAGGTGTGGGCACTGTTGAGCTCCTGATTTGGGGACTAGTGCCACACAGAAGCTTCATATTGAAGCAAAATGAGCTAATGATTGCACCCAGTCATCCTGAATAATGCACATGGTCTGAAGCAAAAAGGATGAATGTCTAGCAAATGTCCGACACCTCCCCTGCCTGCAGTTTATAACTGCCCCAAAGGTGAAGTAACATTCAGATGGATGGGGAGGCTTTTTCACCTGACAGTGTAAACAAAATTCATGGTCCTGCTTCCTCAGTAACAGCTGAGGCCACAGCCACCACCAGACAGGGAACTAGAGGCCACTGGTTTCCTTTTGAGAGATTTCAGTTCGAGCAGGGCCATCACAGGGCTGGAGCAAACAAGAGGCTCCTGAACCCTCAGCTTCGGAGTCTCGCCAAGAAAAACAGTAAATCTCTCTCCTGATAGTTTGTTGACCCTCTGTGGGATCAACTCCTGTGCCGATATCTCAAGCCCTGCCACAGCTGGTGCCTTCCTTAAAGCCCAGAAGCTGGATGAAGAGACTGCATAAAAAAATATCTCTTCTCAGAAAATGTCACCAAAACAAAAAAGCAGGTTTCTATTCCGCTTGGTTATGGAAAAAGATTTGAAAATGTGAAGTGAGAGTCACTTAAACCTTTAGAAACAAGACGACAAATACTAGGAAGCAATGTTTATTTGTAGTCTTCTCCATGCTGTGATTTTTAAGCCTATCTCACATGTTTGCAACCTGCCTTTTATTGCTTTATTGTTACAGAACATACAGGCACACACAGCAAAAGATATCCAGATATCCCTCTGCAGGAAAAAAACCAACTAGTCAGGAGTATGGGTAAAGGAGCTGTAGTCCTGGAAGTGCTAACAAAAGCATCATCTGAAGACCATGGGTGTCTCTTCATTGACTTCTACAGACTTTGGATTCTGAACTTAAACCCAATTAAGCAGCCCTGGGGCCAGATTTGGCTTTTAGGCTCCCATCAGCCACAAGCCCAACACTTCATTCTTCATAATGCATAAACTAAGCTACACCACCCAAAATCTCTGCTCCATGCTTGAATGATGGCATTTCAGACTTCAGTATGTCACATATTACCTATGTACCAACCCTACTTACAAGCAAGTTTAGTAGCCTATGTTATTTCAAAGTGGGAAAAAGTGACGACAAAGAGGCCTCTTCATACCATAGGCTGTAACGCAAATAGCAGTTACACCTATTTTTACAGTCCTTTATCACACAAATCTTTAACTACCCAGAAATAGAAACTTCACTTCTCTGTGATAAGGATATAGAAAAAAAAAGCACTGACACCAGAAAAAAAAAAAAAAAAAAAAAAAGGCAGCAAAAGCTGACAGCCAGTGCCTGCAAGCAACACTGTGCCTCTGCAAAGAGCCCCTGGCAAGCTCACCTCCCCACCACCATCCCAAAGCAGGCAGGGCTCCACGAGACCCCGCAGGCTGGCTGATGAGCTCCTGTCTGGACAGGGCTGCACAGCACCACCAGAACATTGGCACAGTAGAAGCTCGAGTGTGTTACTGGGAACAGGCCAGGACAAGACCCTGC